CCCCTCCCGCCAATGCTTGGGAGTACGAATGTTGCAGCAATATAATTTTTTCTCGCGTACAACTTGCGTAGTAATTCTACCGTTCGTCCCCTCGCCATTCTTCATCCGCCTTTCCCACCTGCCCTTCCGCTCTGACGCCTTCCTGCCCGCTCCTTCCACCTCCCGTCCGTCTGCCCGCCTCTTCCACACAAACACTTTCCGCCCCGTCTTCCGCCGCCACCGTCGCCCCACCGTCTTCCCGCCCATCTCTTCTCTCCATCCTCCCGCCCGCCTTTCAACCCCGCCCTTCCACCCCGACTCCCCACCCTCCGCCCTTCCACCCCCGCCTTTCTTCCCCGCCTTTCACCCGCCTTCCCACGCCCCGGCCCTTCCAACCCCCACCGCCTTCCAACACAGCCTTCACCCGCCTTCCCCCTCGTTTTTGGAATCCACATAATGTGTTAGTGTGTAATATTGATTGAAGAAAAAATAGTTGAAAAAATTATTTGTGTTTCTCTTGTTTTAGGGAGTTACACCTGAATAATAACTTGCTGCGGGTGCTACCATATGAACTTGGCAAGCTATTCCAGCTGCACGTCTTGGGGCTGGCAGGCAATCCACTCAGCAAGGAAATCCTGGCGCTGTATGGAGAGCCTAATGGTACCCACAAGCTGCTCACTTACATGTTGGACAACTTGCAAGGTAGGCTGCCTGCTTCGAATTTATCAGAATAGCAACTCACACTTCATATCCTTTAAAATTTAAAATGGGAGAGCATAAGAACAATTCTGTGTACATTGCACATTGTCAGTAATGCTCAACATGCATGATCAGCAATTACATTTTGGGAGAAGAATCCTTGATATTGTGTTTTCTTTAAACAGTTATTAATTTTTAAGTATCTTTTATGTAACAAGAAATGTATTTTATTTGAATGTTGAACTAAAAGTGACCAAAACATTTCTAGTGATTTACCAGAATTAATTATTATTTATTCATCAATGGAAGTGACTTGATTGTATTCTGTCCCTTTTGTAATAGGTAAAGTCGGCAAGAATTTGAATTGGGCATTATTTTCTCGAGAATTGTATTGTTAGTCAATAACAGGGTATTGTTTAGTGTTTCTAGTTGGATGTTTTCAGAGTAAAGAGTAGTACATTGAAATTTTGGTTCATTTTATTGAAGAAGTAAAATTAATTATTATTGACTTCTGTTTGTGAAGGGGAAAGAACCATTGTGCATCTAATTGGACTGAAATGCCAGAGGTGTAGTTTCATTTGCATAATATGAAACTGCAAGTTTTTTAAATTGACATAGAGATCTTACTAGAGTAAAAATAAACTACCCAGAAATCACATTTAAGATTTGAATTCTATCCTATAAATTATATATTGCTGCTCTATATCAGCAGGATAGGAAAGATAATTGCAATTCTTTCTACCATTGAATTATTTATCATTATCAACCGGCCAACAGATCATCTCATTGTTCAAAGGAAAGTTGGGTGATGACACTTATTTTAAATCTGATAATTGTTGTAATTTGTAATAGTTTTTCAATTACCATGTATGCTAGCAAGGTCATCTTGACTTGCTGATAAATAATTATATTATTTTTCCCAAATGCTCATTGGTATTTAGGAAGCATTTCTGTTTTCTCCAGGATCGTTTGTAGCATGTGTCCTCTCAATCATGTAAAATGAGAAAATCAGTTGACATTGTGTGTCCTCTAAACATGGTCAACACTTTCACAATCGGCGTACTTAAGAACTGAAATCACATAACGAGTACTATCGATATTCCCCCACTGGATGGTGGGATCTGGTGTCGACCCTCCAGTCGGCTGGCGGGGTTTTCCCCGAACCAAGTATCTCCCACCGGCAGGGCACCGCCCCAGCCGGGATAAGCTAAGCTCCCGACGTGTGTAGTAGTGTAATTCGTGTGTATGTAAGTAACGGTATGGATAAAATAAGGAAAGGGAAAAAATGATTGCCACGGTCCATAGCCCGTTTGTTAAGTTTCTGCTCCGGCATTTGCCTGGTGTTGATTGGAGAAACCGAGGATAAGTCCGGATCAGAGCAGTCGGCCTCTAGACATCTCCAGAGTCTTCCAGACAGCGACTGAACTGCGGGACTCGAACTTAGGACCTCCCTGTGGAAGGCAGTGCTGTGACATAGATGGATGCTTTGAGCCACCTCTGCCGGTTTAATGTCCTTGGAATTGCGTTTGCATGATGATGACTATGATGCAATACCACCTCTCCTCATCTCTGTTCATAATCTCTCGCCCCCTCGACCATTCGCGAACTCCCCCTCCCACGAGGCGGAAGTGCCCTGGACGGGAGGGCTTGTGCGTATTGAAGGCGGCTACGAGAGCAGCGGAGGACTCGCCAGCTCCCCCTCCGCTCGAGGGACGAGGCGCTTTCTCTCCCGCAGCCCCTCCCCGCCGGCGGGCGTTTGGCGTCCCCCCCCCCCCATTGTATTAAAATGTCAGCCCGGAAAATGAGCCGCGCGTCCCGCCCTCTTCGGCCCCAGCGCGCAGCGGCGGACGTTTGCTGTGACAACGCGTCGCCACTATTCGGTAGCCATTCACTGAGTGGGAATAACAATAAGTAAAATGAAATAAAGATTAGTCTTGGTGTTGCAATAATACAGCCGTTCAACTTGAATTTACCCACAAATAAATAATTAAACTATGACCACATCTTAAAAATTTACATTAATGATTCAGTAGAAAAAATTAAAATGCCTGTATGATTGCGTAGGCTTCCACGGCCGGAGTTTATGTTGGCTGGGCTATCTGGAACGAGCCGCGTCGATGTCATGGTGGCTAATGACATCATGTTCATTAGCCACCATGACATCGACGCGGCTCGTCCCGGATAGCCCAGCCAACATAAAATGCCTGTAGATGCATTCTATCAACATTTCAAAATAATTAAAATTAAACAAAATAAAGATTTTTAATATTCAGTATCTGAATGCTACATACACAGCTCTTACTTCAGTTTTAGTTCCATGGATTAAAAAGAAGACTGCTTCTCCTAATGAATGTTGGATTCTGGAACAAGGAACAACAATTTCCATGAAATGTTTGTTTGGTTGTGTCGAATTAATGAGTTTCTGCAATAGCGTGAAATATTACATGCATATCCATTGATTTTTTTATAAACTATTATTTATGTTGCTTGGAATAAACAAATGTCAAGTTGTGTGCAACATAATTTATAAATTCTACAAATATTCATTAATGATTTACCTGTTTGAAAATGTCTCAAAATGCATTGACATCAGCGTTATGAAAGATAACTTGGGTTTCCTTTGAAGCTGCACTTTCAACAATTTAAAATTCGTGGTGAATGGTGGAACCATTGGAAACCCTGTTCTAGAATTTTAGGACTTCATATCTTTGGTGTGTTTGTGCAGACCATAATTGTGGACGGTCCTATTTCTTGTGAATGCTCCAATGAATTGGTTTGATAAAAACTTTTCCATTCACAGCCCTAGTGACCAGCTAAATAATTGCTCTAAACAGGACAATGGAAATGTCATATCAGCCTCATGAATGTATTTAAGTAATTCTTTCATAAGGAAAGTAAAGGACTAGTGCAGTAGGTGTGGAATTACTTAATGGAAACGTTCCAAGCATAGGGCTGAAAAACAAACAAACAGGTTAAATAATACAAACCAGTGGATATTTTGGTTTTGGGGAGAGGGGGTATTATTATTATTATTATTATTATTATTATTATTATTATTATTATTATTATTATTAATTTTAAATTCAGTTCATTTAAAAATTAATTTTCATCATAAAAAGTAAGTGTTCTCGAGAGTGCGTTAATTTCCAATATAGGGATCTCCATAAAGTGATCTGTTCTCTAGGATCTGGTAATTTCTCCACAAATGTGCTCAACACAGCCTAACAGTGAGTAAAGGAAGGATACACAGAAGCACGGTTTCAATGAGAGTTGTTAAGGAGTGTCGTCTGTAAGTTGTGAGGCCTACTGCATTCAATTGTTAGCGGATTGCAACCAATTGTGTGATTGTTCGAAACTCAATTCTTAAAGTAAAGATTTGAAGCTTCAGTTGTGTATAAATTAAATGTATTTTTGATAAAAATTCACGAGGCAACAGCAATTTAATAAGTGTCTATTTTTTTGGTTTTAAGGCAAAATTAGGCATATTCCGACTAATGTGGCACTCTGTTCGTCTCAAATAAGTATTGTTTTTTGATCAGGAAATTATTTTGGATTATAGTGGGTACTTCATGCGCAAAAAATCCGTTAAAGAATTAAATAAATTTTAAATACAGTGTCTTTGGGGGCAGATATTATTTCTATGTTGAAATTTTAACATTTTTTCGCTAAGCTGCTGTAATCCATTTTGTGTATAATTTGATGTACTTATGTAATTGATACTATATCGCTGTTAGCCAACCGCTAGTGTGAATAAAAGATATCTTATGTCAAAAACTAGTCCATAATGTGAACAGACGTGGGCTACGTTGTCAGGTATGTACAGTCTCTCCTTTCCAGTTTGATCAGTGCATTGTAGAAATGCGTTTCGTGTTCCGGATGGCAATGGGGATGCGACGCGTCCACTTCCTCCTGCTGTAGCTACAATTCTGAAATGCGTGTTGGTTTTGCACCCTCATTTTAGTTTTCCGATTGCTTCAGTGGGAGCCTCGACAGTGGTAAATGTAATTCCGAAGAAATTGTTCATCGACATTTCGTGAGAAACGCGGATCTGAGAGTAGGGAGAGCGCTGTGCCGTGCGTCGTCATCGGCCATAACAATCAAATGAGTAACACGTTGCCCATACGTACACGCGGGGTACGCAGATCCCCCAAGCAAATTTGGAAAACAATAACTTGCGTAGTATTGCACGATGTAAATAGAAATAAAATACATTTCTTACAGGTTCATTACATAACATAGAAACCAGTATTAACAAAATAATTACCGAGAATTACCATCAAGAAAAACATGGACCTTGGGACATCTACATAGCGCGTGCATTATCTAAACTTTTAATGGAAAAAAGATTACGTATTACACTAGCTCATGTTTCATTTTCCTTAGTGTGTGTGGTGGTGGCGGCACTCCGGCCGAGGTGCGTGAATTTCGAATGTCAACAGTGGCTGAATTCTATCATCCAGCAACTTCCCACTAATCAGGTTACGCGCTCACTTTAATGAGAAACAATCTAGTAATGAATTTGTTTCCGAGGATGCTGATGTAGCGGTCCGTGGCGGTAAATATGGGAGTTAAAATGGCCAGTAGCGCCCTAGGAGCCTAAAGTGCGAAAGAAAAAAAACGCTCGGTAATTTGAGCTCATGTCGGGGATGGGACAATGGACAAATCAAAGAAAGTGCAAACAATGCTTCATTGTTTTATTAATGCTCAGAAAAATTGGATAAATTTGAGGTGAAATAATCTGTACGAAAATGCGTTTTACTTCACTTTGAAACGTCCAGTCACTTCTCGCAAGATAACTGTGAATTTCGCCTAAGTCTCCCAAACTTTGACGCACTATATGACAAAATATGATTTTTTAATTACATTATATTATATAACTTGCCGTCATAATAAACTTTTAAGATTTCAACTAACGTGGTACGGAATAGTTTTCATTCCTCATTCGACAATGCAGTTAATTTAATCACATTAGTTGTTTTCCAGGTAAATAATGATTCTAGACT